ATCTCAACTTGTACTTTTGTGGTCAAATATTTCATTGAAAATTAGTATTTCCAGTCTGTTAATTTTTTACTATTAGGTTGCTGGAACTCTTGTTTGCAAACGATTTCTCATTTCAGAGATGTCCTAAAATCTTTTACGCTGTTCCGTAGATCAGGGATTTTTGGGGAAAATAAACCCCCAAATTTCTTGGCAGAAATTTTTGTTGGTTAACCAGAGCAAATGCAACATTTGCTACGTTTACTTCCTTTTTCAGTCTAAAGCGCATATGAATAGGTGCATATGAATAGGGCTTTGCTTTCAGATCAGTCTGCAGGCTTCCACGTTTTTCTGTTAAGGTGCTCCCCTTCTCTCCCTGAAATTCTGGGTGCACCGGCTGATGGTCAGGGTAGGGCTTCTGTCAGCACGTCTGTGCTGGGGTGTTTGGGGCTTTTATTTTAACTGACATGTCCCCTCATATAGCTTAACAGCTCCTATCGTGTTGCCATTACAGTTTGGCAGAACATGCATGTGTTACCTTCTCCAGCTGTTGATGTGGAAGAAAACACAGGCTTTGCGCAGACTGAGTACTGTAGACACTGTAAGGACAGAGACCCCTGAGCAAGGGCTATTTCAGTGCACCTTGCCATTCTTAGCTCGTTAACACAACAAAACACCTCATGCTAGTCGTGTAGTTTTGACTAAGAAGACACTGAGTGATGTCGCGTCTTCCCATTGCTGTTTTCCAGAATGGAGCAAGAACAACCAAAAAGGGAGCTGCTGTAGCCTGGTGTCGGAAGGACTGTGGAAGGTGCCTCCTACTACCAGCAAAGGGCTGATAATAGTCAGCCCTTTGTTGGTAGCAGGAGGCACTTGATAATAGTCAGCCCTTGGTAATGACCTAATTTGGAGCGAATCCTCTATATACTCTATTAAAAGTGAGGCAGTAAAATATTGCTGTTCTTAATTTGAGAGCTAGGAACAGAGGTGGGAAATTTTAGTTTTAATTTTATCTGAGAAGCTTGGTTTTCATAGATGAAAATCTGCTGGGTTTTCCCCTTCCTGTTCTCGTGGGTATTTAGTGCTTTTCTACTGTTTCTTTTAAATGAAATGCTAGTTGTGTATCTTTTAATGTACTAGAGCACCACATAATTATTAGAGTATTATTTTTAAAACTGTTGTGCATTGGGTTTTGTTTGCCTCCATCACAAAATGTTACTTGAATCTTTTTCTCCCCCCACCTTCTAGAGCATTCCTTATGTTGGGACAATACACGATGGCCTTGTTCCTGGAAACACGATTGTGATACTTGGGACTGTTCCTGATGATGCGGACAGGTAGTAGCTACAGTGTCACCATGTGAATAAGAATGTAATGAATAAAATATTTCATGGGGTCCTACTTATGATGGCAGACAAAGGCTTGATCTAAATCCTTGCGATAGCATCAGAGTGAGTGCAGGTTTAAGTGGTTAATGAAAGCTTTGTGATGAGAAGGAGAAGATGAACTGATGTTTTGCTTTCTGATGATAATTTCTTTGCTTTTTTCCCCCTAATAAATAGATACATGATTTTTTTTTCTTATAAATAGACAATTTTTTGCCTTGATTTTTTTTTAATTTTTTTTTTTTTCTCCTTTCTGCTGACTTCTTCTTTCTTCTTTCCTTTTGCTTTTTCTGCTTTGGCAATGTTTTTTTTTTCTCTGTCATAGCATGTGTCTGCTTGTATGAAGAGGTTATCTGACACCAACAAAATTGATAAGTGAATGTGTTGCATGAAGTAATTAACTTAAACTGGGATAAGGAGGTATGAAATAATCAGTATGCCCAGTCATGGGGGTTCTGTTCTCTGACTTCACCCACAGTTCATTTGGTTATTCTACTGAAGATGATGTCAGGGAAGGTGGTGAACACAGTAAGTGAGGCGCTTACATGATATGAATGATGACACTTAAATATTATAACTCATTGCAATAAATCATCACAGATGTGTAGGAGTTGGAGTAGGAGTTGGTCAAATACATGTTTGGGGTTTTTTCCTTATCCAACAACACTCATGGTGTCTGCCTGTTCTGAGGCTCCACGGTAAAACACAAGTGTATCGATTGCAGGTGATTTATTGACAGACTGAGCTGAATGTGGTTTGTCTTATTTTTATGATTAGGTTCCAGGTGGATTTACAGTGTGGCAGTAGCGTAAAGCCTCGAGCTGATGTGGCGTTTCATTTGAACCCCCGGTTCAAAAGGTCTGGCTGCATTGTTTGCAACACGTTGGAGAGGGAAAAATGGGGCTGGGAAGAAATCACTTACGAGATGCCCTTTCAAAAAGGGAAGTCATTCGAGATTATCATTGTGACTTTAAAAGATAAATTCCAGGTGAGTTTGGGTTGATTCTTGATCATAGCCAGTTGTCAGGCCAATAGGAGAGAGTTATATAAGTATGCAGAATATTTATTGTAAGTATACAACAGTAAATAATTGGAAGCCTTGGTACCTGTTACCTAGGTATAGTCTATCTATGGAAATGTCTAGGAGCTTTTCTTCAAAGAGATGCTAAGTAAATCAGAACTTTTAATTTTGTATTGCTTTCCTCTAAGTTGGATGAATGGCCAAGTACCTTCCTGCCTAATGCCTGCTCCACCCTCCCCTTCCTAAGTGCCAAGGGCTGACCTTAGGGTAAACCTGTTCTGTGACTTGTGTACGACAGTCCTCTGGGAGGACACACAAGGTGTACCTGTCTTGCTCTCTTAGACTGTAGTAACAGGTTCTGTTAGGTTGACAGTACCACACTGGTAAATGATGGGGTGATAGAAACAAAAGGTGTGAAATGCAGATTTTAGTGTCGTCAACTAAATCCCCCTCATAGTAACAGAGAGAGAGACTGAATCACAGGTGAGCTGAACTTGGTTGCTCTGAAATTGCTTCTGTACCAAAGCAGTGTAAAAGAGATACACATGCATATAATGTGATATGTGGCTGGTGTGATGTGTGTTTAATACAGTTTTCCTATTTTGTTTCATGTCTTTTTAGGTGGCTGTAAATAAGAAGCACTTGCTGCTCTACAACTACAGAATGAACCTTGAAAGAATAGATACTCTTGGAATATATGGCAAAGTGCAGATCAAAACTATAGAATTTGTTTCCAATGTAAGTTATATAGACAGCTGACTTTAGACAGATACCTTTTCACTGTGTTGCTAAACTACAGAGTAGGATTTACAGTGAAAAGGAAGTGAAGAAAAGCAGCTACACAGTCTTAACATTAGTAACAAGACTTTTTTTCTCCCCCACACAGTTCAACATGCGACTCTCATGTGAGGATCTCTGTCTTCCCTTTTTAGTCTTGAGGTTAAGGGAAAAAGGGTGACTAAGTTTATTGCATACAAAGTTGACAGGACAGATACTGAATCTGGGAATGGATTAGACTTTTCAGATAGAATCTACGAATGGTTTGGGTTAAAGGCCATCTGGTTCCAACCCCGCTGCCATGGGCAGGGACACCTTCCGCTAGATCAGGTTGCTCAAAGCCCCATCCAGCCTGGCCTTGAACACTTCCAGGGATGGGGCATCCATAGCTTCTCTGGGCAACCTGTTCCAGTGCTTCAAGACCCTCTCAGTGAAGAAATACTGCAGGAGGTCCAAAATGAACTCAAAGTATTTGGTGCTTCTAAGTGACAGGTTCAGCCACAGCTATAATTTGTTGCTTGGCTTCCAGATGCTAAGTTCAGCCATGGCTGGAACTGCTTGTACACATAACCCTCTTTTTCCTGCTAAAATGACCAAATTGTTGAATGAAATGATAAGTAGGAGTGTATGTTTATTTCTGGAGGATGATAAGAGAGGTCCTTGCTTGAAGATGACCTTGTGGCTTGACTTGCACTCGTACCAAACTGCAGTGAATATCAAGTGCCGGCAGCGCTGTACATCCTCTCAGCTGCCAGCTCTGCTAGAGAAAGTAAACCACCAGGGAGGAACTGAAAAACATGTTTTCCTTTATGCAGAAGGAAAGATCCTTCTGCTTTGGAACGGTGAGACTTAAAGTGCAGAAATGGAAGGAAATGAAAATGGATAAATTCTAGGGAGATACAGAAGGTGAATGCCTTTTCCCTTTCTTCCTGCCACTCACTGAGGCAGCCTAGCTACTCCTGTTTAATATTCTGGGTCTCTTCTGCCCAGTCCTCACTACATGGAGCATAAAGCTTGGGCCTCTTGCTGCCAAACATCAGGTCTAACTCAAGTCAGCAGACTAATAACTGTACTGATGGGAGGTGGAGACTTGGGACTGAATGAAACAGGATTAAACTTTAAAGATACGTCTGCTTGCTGGTCGTTTGCAGAGCCCATGCACAGGCTTTTATGGGCCCCATCATTTGGCCATGTTGCCAGAATAAGGTTGTTTCAAAGCTGTCTGAGTCCAGGTTTTGGAGGACTGGCTCGGTGAAGAGCCTGGGGGTGAGCAGGTGCTGTAGGTTGGTTTTGGTCCCAAGCACAAAGCAGAGTTGCTTTAGTTTGTGGTTGCTGATGCTGTATCCTTTGGGGAAGAAAGGAACGGAGAAGGGCAATTGTTTCCTTTTGTCTTTTGCTTCTAATACACTCTTCTGAGGAAGAAGAGGAAGGCTTTTATTGAAATAAAGAAGGTGAAGATACAGTCTGCCAGGCTAGGCTGGAACTGTATCTCTGCATGGCCACGTTGCTCATCCGTCCTTCCCATGGGAAGGGACAGGGCTGCAGGAAGCTGCTTAGAATCCCAGGGTCCCCTGCGTTGACCTGCCCTGTTGGTATTCCTACCCCTGTAGGGAGAGCTCAGTGGGTACCCGCAGATGCTAAGGGGCTGACAGTGCTCTGACAGTTAAATAAGGATTCAAATGGTAATGGAGTGGTCTTCAGAAATCTCGATTTGGCTTCAGCAGTTGATATTCAGGACTTTTCCTTGGTTTGTACAGGTTGGCTATCTTTTCCTTTACCATAGCCCTAGATTTTCGTGTTCAATTCACCCTTCAAAGCAGCACAGTTGCTTTGTTCTACAAAGTTCTAAACCAACGGTTTAGAATACACGGTTTTAAACCAACTCAATTAAGTGTTATGATGTTAGCAATGACATATAAATAATCTCTCTTTCTGCAGTCTTTACAAGGCTCTCAGACATCTGTAGGTTTAACACAGAAAATGTATGTGTCTTTGTACAAGGTTGAACGAATCTCCTTGATGTCTGGTAACCTAGTTAACATTGTTTGTTTTCTCTTGTAGGGGGAAATGCCAGATGGTTCCCAATTTGTAAGTGTCTCGTGTAGACTCTTGTCAAATGTGAAGAGTAAAAAAAAGAAAAAAAAAAAAACTAAAACCATCTCAGTTATTCATGCAAAAACATGCACACAACAAGGGAATCAGGAATCTGCTGGGAGATGGTCATCAGTGAGGTTTTGTAGAGAGAAGCCTTCTCTTTTTGCTGCTGGTAGTAAAAGTGAGGCTATGAGTAAAATGGCATAGAAAGCCCAAAAGATAAATGCAGCATCCACAGCCAAAAATAGAGGGGAAAAAAAGTGAGGTAGCTGATGTTTTAAAGGACGAAAACACATAAACATTTTTTTTTTTTCAAATAAGCATACTTGGTTTTCTGCACCATACAGAATACCTGCAAACCAGCAGTATTCCGCAGGCACATTGCCACAACTGGTCGTATCCGGATGTGCGTGTCTCAGAACCTGTCTGTCTGCATCTTCCTCTTGCTGACAGATCCGTGCTTTCCCCGTATGCCCCTCAGCTGGCTGGATCTGCAAGCATTGCACCTTAGGGTTGGTACTCGCACGCAGCTAGCATGGAGCACAGACAGAGCGAGCGCTCATCAAAAAGCTGTACGTGTGGACAGCAGCCAGAGTGGAGTCAGGACCATGTTCAAACTGGAAATGAATTGGAAGCCAGGAACAGATAGAGTTTATGGAGAAGGTGAAGTTGCAGTGAGTGCTGTGATTTTAGTTGCCTTGTCACTTGGCAGTCTGCCTCCTTTAGTCTTTTCAAAACAAATTAATGTGCAATATCGCATTTCCCAAGTGCTGGGATTAAGCAGAAAATTGAAGGTGAAGTACTTCTCCGTTCACTCCTTTTCCATGATCAAAGTAACTTCTAACACAACAACAACAAAAGACTATTAAAATACTTGCACTATCTATCGTTATGGTTTGGTGCCAGGAGGACAGACCCTGTTTCTGCAACTGTGGGACTGGACAGCTAGCATGAGTCTTACTCTTTAAAGCATAACTGAAGCTTTTGGAGAGGAGAGCTGGGATGTCTGTATTGGAAGAATTTGTGATACAAATTTAAATTGGTTCAGGGAGTTCTGTGCTTACTTCCCTCTTTCCCCTCCTTCCACCATCAGTGGTGGCAGAAGTGGTTGTAAATAATGTTTATTTTGAACCCAAGGTGGTAGTCTGAAGCAACACCCCAGCACCCTTGATATGTTGAGCTTGATGTAACTTTTCCCCTCTAGTATTGGTATCCCAGAATGTGTTGGTAGGAATAACTTTAGCTATAAGTGCAGATTCACAATCGTGGGCCAATTTTTTTTCCTGCCATAGTAAAGCTTAGCTTGTGTATTGAAAAAAGTAAGTCACAGTCAAAATTTTTCCGGGTGGTGTACTTCCAGGGAGTTCCTTATGTTGAGAAACTTGATGCTGCACTTCGTCCAGGCTGCGCAGTTACCATTAAAGGAGAAGTGAATAAAAACTCCAAGAGGTGAGTGTTACTGAATTTTTCTGCTATTGAACTGAGCTAGGCTTTTCCATTGTGTCGGTGTATCTTTACTCACTTGCAACTTTACCTCTGGAATCATCTGAAGCTACAGTGCAGTTTTCTCAGGAACCTGTAGGTTATCGCTCTAGAGAGAACTTCGAGCAGCTCCGTTGTGAAAAGTGAAGGTAAAACCTGAGTGTCTTACCTGCTACATCTGCATCATTCACAAGGTCATGTGTCTTTACAGTTTCCGTTGTGCAAGGCATCCTACAAAGACCGCCCTGATTCTAAAGAGATCCGAGAGTAAGGGAACTGGCGGAGGTAGATGGAAAATGAGAGAGTTAGATCAGTTGCTGGTGTGCTCAAATGCTGCATGTCACGTCATTTCTGTGAGTACTTGGACGGCCTCCTTGGGGGCTGCAGAAGCATGAAGGTGCCTAACTGACAACTGAGTGAGGAAAGCTGGGAGGGGAGTCCGAGCTATGATTTTGACAGCAAATTAGGAACGACGGGTGGCGAAGAAGAAATTTCCCCAGTGTGATTTAAAGAGGGGAGGGAAAAAAAAAAGGGGGGGGAGGGTGTTGCACAGCATGGTCAGAATGGAGCTGAGGAAATGTCTGTGCTTCAGCATGCCCTTTGCTTGAAGGGTGGTTTTGGTTTTGCAGAAACATGCCTAAAAAATGAAGTAATTAGTGCAAATGATGAGAAGCATGCTTTTTACACTGTGTGTATGCATCCTGTTCCTGCGTCCTCAGAGCATGTATATTCCCTGCAGCTGAACAGCACTGAGTGCTGGAACCCAAGGTCTAGGAATTTGATCAACAAAGTTTGAATGGACTTTCAATTGGACAGGATAATTGTTGCCCAGAGAAGCTGTGGATGCCCCATCCCTGGAAGTGTTCAAGGCCAGGCTGGATGAGGCTTTGAGCAACCTGGTCTAGTGCAAGGTGTCCCTGCCCATGGCAGGGGGGTTGGAACTGGATGGGCTTTAAGGTCCCTTCCAACCCAAACCAGTCTGTGATTCTATGCTAATACTTAGATGGCAGTGTTTGTTTTCCTCCTTTTGGCTTGAAAAGCTTATGAGCACACTTCACGTGCTGAATCGACTGCTCATTAGCATGAATAGGCGCTTGGGTGCTGAGTTAGAACACTGCAGGTTGTCTGCTCTTTGTGTTTCTGCTTTTAAATGTACGGATTTTTATAGAGTTTGTAAGGTATTGAATGTCTACGGCTTTTCATGGTGAAAAAGAGGCCTTACAGCTTGGAAGAGCAGCCGTTGCTGTATTTTATATCTGGACCAATCAATGCTTGGCCTCTCAAAGGAGAGAAATAACCTGACAGCTGGAGCTAATTTGGGAGGAGGAATATTTCTTCTTCACATGCAGTGAGGTCTTTGTCACAGGTTGAAGCATTCATTTGAATTTGGATGATACTTCCCTCTGATCACTGTTCTCCAGAGCTCCCTTTTAGGAACCCTGTGTTGAGGACGTGTCTGAGGTGGCAGGGTGTTCGTTCACGCAGGGCAGAGCTACGGCGACTGCGCAGTGACACTCTGTATGCATGGCGTCCCACCGTCTTAGGTGTACAGAAAGAATCCTCAAACTTTTCCTTGGATTCCGAGCCATTTGTTGGCAGAAGGAATATACTATCTTCAGGTAAAACACAGCCTCCCACTCTCCCCTGCCCGAGAGAAGCCCTGTGTGTCACTGTGAGAATGCTGCTTCCTAACGCTGTAGGGGAGGAGCGCTTGGCCCGCTTGGCTCAATACGTCCTTGTTGAGAAAGGAGCAGAAAGATGGGCGTGATGAAGCGGGTCTAGCAGAGCCACGTCCTACATTTGCTGCCTCCAGCAAAGGTTTCTGTTTGAGGGAGACAAATACATGTGAACTGCCTGCTTGGTTCTTCAGGTGAATCACAGCCTTGGGCCTGGAGCAGTTCTGAGTCTTGGCTAAGGGCTTGGTGAGTGGCATGGACTACTGCATCATGTTTATTGACCCTTCGTTTAAAAACTATCTTCCAGCTTTGTGATAAATCTGAAATCAAGTGACTCAAAGGACATTGCATTACATCTGAATCCTCGAGTGAAAAACAAAGTTTTTGTAAGGAACTCGTACCTTCATGACAGCTGGGGAGAGGAAGAAAAGGAAGTTGCCAATTTCCCTTTCAGTCCTGGGATTTACTTTGAGGTAAGAGTAACCGAAACGTAGCATCAAACTTGGTAATTCTGCCCAAAGGATTAGCAGTGCTGCTTAAACGTCACATCACTAATACAGATTAAAGTAAGACTTAAAAGTCATTCCTGCATTTCAGTGTCTTGAGAACATTTAGGATTAAATGGGACTGTAAGGAGTGGAGAGTTGACTTGGTTTTTAACAAGTTTGCTTCTTAAGTAGTTGCAAAACTTCAGCCTGTGCTGAGAATGAATTTTACTTGAATTGAGTTGGACCCGACGATCCTTATGGGTCGCTTGTAACTTGAGATAGTCTAGGTTCTATTAATTTAAGTTTCACTTTTTTTTTTAATGTTTCTTTCGCATGAAGCGTTCTTTGTAACAGAAGCAGGGCTTGCCTAAGTCTAGGCTAGGTCGGCAGGTGGTTTTTCACGTCTTACCTGAGCTTAAAACTTAACTGTTTCTCTTCTTGCTTTCCAGATGATCATTTTCTGTGAGGCCCACCACTTCAATGTTGCTGTTAATGGTGTTCACACTCTGGAGTACAAGTATCGTTTTAAACACCTTGAAAAGATCGATACAGTGGAAGTCACCGGAGATGTTAAATTGTTAGATCTAAAGAGATGGTAGTTCTTTTCAGTCAGTACTAAAAGAATTAACCCTCTTCTAACGACAGTGCCTCCTTGTGAAGTGCAAACGGGTGCTGACTCACGCTGAGCCTGCTTTTATCTGTCTAGGCTTCTGTCTGCCTCTGAGCTTGGGGAGTGCCAGAACAGCTAGCTGTGAGATTAAATCCTCTTCTAATTTAGAGTATCCTGGCAAGCTAAGTACGTGCTCAGATAAATCTCCTGTATTACTGAATCTAGCAACATGAAAATGCTGCATCGTACAGTATCTAATGATTGCACTCAGCATGTTTAAATTCAACTACGCCGTCGTTCCTTGATAGCACACGTTCAGTAGCCAAGTAGAAGCAAAATTGAAATAGGATCTGAAGACAGGGTAGGGTTATCCACCCCAAAAGGGAACTTGATGGTTTATTTAAAATAGAACTATCAAATAATCTTCTGCTTCTTAGTTCATATTAGTGACTCTAACCTTTTTACTGAGGCTGGATTAAGCAAGCAGTTGACCTGTCAGTTCTAGCAAAAGGCAAGGAGGAATTCAATCTTAGTCTGCCGCTGCAGTAGTACCTTCTCTGAGAGCCATGGTATGTCGCCGCCTGCTGCAAAGTGGCTTAAATCAAACATACAGCAGCATTTCTAGCTTTTAGTTTTCCAGAGTGAACCAAATGAGAATTATGTTGCTGGTTCCAATTGCTTGAACTTTTGAAAGCTTGTTTGGTCTGAAATGGCTCCTCAGTTGAAATCGCTCAGGGACTGAAGCAGATGTTTGGCTTTCATTTTTTTAAAAATGTGTGAACCTAGATACTTCAGGCAAGGTTTCAGCTGAGGTGAGACTCAGATACTCACCAGTGGAATAGAGAATTAATTCTTTTTCAGTCTTATGTTAAAGTAATACTTACCTGAAATAAGCTGTTCCTATCCAGTGTTCCACACAAATGTCAGTCTTCATTTTTATACTCTTTAAAAAAGTAAGTTGCTACTGGCTGTCAATACATGCCTGAGAAATGATCCCATTTATCTTAGCAGCTGCTGAAAGTGAACCAATTTCAAGATGATGTACCCCAAAACTGTTTAATATAAATTAAAAGGTCTAATGTATAAGAAACATAAATAAAAACATTTGTGAACTCTACTTTTCTCCAAGTGTAGCTAAATAGCTATGATCCCCTTCTGCTTTATATTTTGTCTTGTTTCGCCTATTATCCCTCTTACCACTGTGTCCAAGGTGGCACAGCGATCCTGACTGGAAGGCCACTTCTGTGTGGAGGAGTTAACAATCTGCGGACCAGTTAACCTGAGCTGGCCTAGGCCTCAGCTGTGCTGGTGTGGCTGTGAGGACAGAGTTGTGATGCACCTCTCCCTTGGCTGTAGGATCAACTCAGCTGGCTGATTCTAGCAGAGGAGCTGGTAGGCAGCTCCCACTTGGTAAGGGCAGTTGCACCACTTGTGTGTCTTTGCCTTTACCTCAGGAAGTTCTTGTGTGAACAGTCTTTCTCGTTGACAGCAGACACGATTAATGGATGTTTTAAGAAAATCCTGTAAGACCATGAGTGACCACGATGGGCTAACCTTTCCGCAGATGGGATCTGTATGGCATGCTGCACCCTGAAGAGGCCCTTTCCCAGCACCTGATGGGATGTAAGATTGTCTTCTTTATAGTGTTAGTTCTAACCAGTGGCATTTTAAACCATATTTTACAGTCTGAGTGCCTTTCTTACTAGTAGTGTAATGAACCAGTACCTCCTGGTGCTGGTGGTATGATTTTTTGGTATTTTGGAATTTGCTTACAGCTTGCTCCCATTTCCCACTGTTAAGAAAAGAGCAGTTCAGGAGAATTCATACGAAAAGTTCCCAGACCTCACAGAAATGGTAAAGCCTGATTCTTACAATATTTTATTAAAAAGTCAAGATCTTGGCTCTGGTAAAAATTAGGATGACAGTTTGCCTGTAACACTCACATGTGTGAAGCTGACATGATTCAGACAAAGTTTGAAAACAAAGGGGATACGTTTAGAAGTAGCTTTGGAGTGGTTCTCCCAAAATGACTTCAAGCTGTTGAATTGTCTTCTGACACTGCTGTTCAACTTCTTCACACTCAT